TTTACATCTCTTGTGATGATCGGCACGTGTAAGGGCATATTGAGGAAGAGCTTTTAATGTGGGTGGCTCACACAAGAGAGGAATTTATGAAGAAGCTGTTTGTGTCCTGGCAGAAGCCCAGATTCCGAATTAAGCCATCCTTCTGCTAGTGGGCACAGTCTATCAGACAAGATGCTCTTTTCAAAAGAAAAAATCTCTTCATCCAGCATCCATTTACATAATTTCCACTGGTGACTTACAAGATCTCCAACTGCCTTGAATTTCAATCACTAAACACATGGACATCATAGTCCTCTCCTTGTTGTGATGCATATAGTCACCCATTGTCTTCAGCATCATAATTCCTTCCCTGCCTAAGTCCGCCAATTAATAATGTCCTAGTTGCTGTTTTAGGTGGTTGTTTTTTTTATCTTTTGGTTTTGAATATGCTCATATAAGAAAACAAAACCATATGCTCCAGACGCTCTTTGATTTGTGTAGGTCCTGATGGCAGCTGTTAATGCACCACCTGGGACATTTAAACCCCTTTACCTAATTGCATTTTGTTAATTAGATCAATTAGCTACATTTGAAGGGAGCCTTGCAGCAAAGGGAGCATAACAAAGAGTCCTATTTTGTCTCCGAATTCATAAGAAAGTGTACACAGGGATTTACTAATTAAGCCAGGATGAAGATGTAAATGTGTCATTTTTTTCTTAGTACAAGCCAACAAAGTAATATACCTCCTTTTATTAGAGGTGGATTTAGCATTGGTGACCAGTAACAGTACTATACCTGTTGCTAATAAATCCAGAAGAGCTGGCCTTGCGGCATGAGATTTGAACCATTTACCCCGTATGTAGGGATAGTGAAAGCTATGAATATTAAACAATGTTTTTGTTATTCATACATACAGGGCAAAAGGATCAAAGCCCATGGCCCGAGCGAGCCAGGCCAATCTTCGACTTCCTTCACTCCCAGTCTTTTCCTTCTTCATTGACTTGGCTGATTTCACTTAGCTTATGGAGTGCCCAGCAGAGACCTTACCTTAAGGGCTCTTTCACATGAACGTTCCGATTGGGTCCGCCTGCCCGTTTTTCGAGCGGACCCAATGGGAACCTCCACTCTCCTCTATGGAGTAGCGGACATGTGTCTGTTTACACCTGCCGACATATGATCAACCAAAAAGGAACAGATGGGAATCCAATTCCCCTTCTGTCCGTTGGATCAGATCGGATGAAAACAGACAGGCGATCCGTTGTTATCCTGCCGTCCATTGAGGAGAGTGAGCTTCTCTGTGTCCACTCTGCAGCAGCGGAGGGGACACAGAGCTATCATCCGTGTGCCCACCGGGGATCAGCGGAGAGATCTCCTGCTGAGCAAGCAGATCCGCTTAACGGGTCCGTCCCGTGTGAAAGAAACCTAAGAGTAGTCAGATAGTTCCAGGCCTCATGCACACTGGACAGTTTTACCACTACTCTAAGGGGCATCTGGAATTATGTTCTCTACCTCCAAATGCCCCTGCATGTTAGCTCATGCGTCCATGCACACATAGGCATTTAGAGGCAGAAAAAAAACAGTTCTATTGCATCCAGGGGCAACGATGCTTTGACAGAAAAACCACTTGATGTCTGTAAAGGTGTCTAAATGCACCTAAACTGTAGGCTCGTCTGGGCTTGAGGGTTAATTCAGTAATAATAAATTATTATTCTGGCCAATTAAATTAATTAACGCTCAAGTGATTGATGTGCCTACACAAGTGTCAAGCATTTTGTTCTACAAAACCACCACAGCAAGGAGGAAAGGCGTCTAGGAGAGACAGTAAAAATGTTCAGTGTGCATGAGTCCCTAAGCAGCAGAATGACAGTTTTCTGAAAACAATTGACCACTTTATTAACCACTTGCCCTCCTTCCTGACTAGGCCATTTTTTGCGTTATGGTGCTGCGTTACTTTAACTGACAATTGCACGGTAATGCCATGCTGCACCCAAATTAAATTTACGTCCTTTCTTTCCCAGGAATTGAGCTTTATTTTGGTGGTATTTGATCGCCTGTGCAGTTTTTTATTTTTTGTGCTATAAAAAATAAGACCAACAATTTTCAGAAAAAAACAATATTTTTGACTTTTGCTATTACACATCTAGTAAAAAAAAATTAAAAAATCTAATTTAATCATAAATTTTGGCCAAAATGTAACAAATGGTAACAACAGTGTCCCATGCTTGAGTAAAGTGTGTTGAAACAGCCATTTGTAGTCTCCATTGGAGCACACGGTAACAACACAGAAGTACAATTGCCAAAAAGGGACAGAGCATGGCCACCCTAAAACAGGAAATGACTGAACAAGGGCTTTCATGGTAGGATAACCATTTACTACTTTAATTAAAGCTGTGGAGTTTTAAAATATTTAAGAAGACATTACAAAATTACATTAACATGGTATAGCACTGATTGGAGTGACATATCTTTTAAGGACTTGTTCAGACTATGTTAATTTATGTTATGGGTTAAATTTTAATGGGATTCCAATGCACAACAATGGACCAAAAAATGGACATGCAGCATTTTTTCTGATGCAGAATACATGGTAGTGCAATAAAACATGCTGTGGTACATTGCATGGCATGTGTATCAGAACTGTATTGCCTTAAGGTGTTGGGGTGCTTTTCATAATGGCCAGCACTGCAATGTGCAAGGAGACGTAATGTGAGTCACAAAAGTGTGTCGATCCTGAGTCTATGAACAGATTAGAGGTCAGAAATAGTGAGAGCCTTGCGAGATACTTTGTGCCCATCACATTAAACACCTGATGCATTTTCCTATCAATTCATGCATGTATTTATAGATGCCAAATGCATGTTGCTTTTTCTGTGACAATTCCATCAGATTGGCTTAAATACTGTAAAGTGGGCCAACATGCCAAAAATAGGCATGCAAAGACCACTGTAAAAAAAAAAGTTTTTTTCATAGAAGAGTATATTTTCCTTGGAAAATGCAGCAGAATGTGTGACAACATGTCCAGTGTAAACATATCCTAAACAGGGTTGTTGACAGTTTCATAAGAAGATGAATGTTTCCCTATGTAGTCCACAGCATACTATATTTATGAGACAATGAGTTTCTGCTTGTTTACATGTAATTTTCTTTATATCATTGCATAATTGCCTTAGGCAGGCTGTAGATGATGAGATTTTCTTTCCTGCAACTACAGGTTGCAAGAAAGAAGATAGGATGATTCCCCTCATCAGTATAATAAGTGTTGATGAGCTATTGTGGTCTCCCAACAGGGAGGGGCAGTGATTTTTGCTTGCGATTATAGCTGCTGGTAGTAATGGCATGCAAAAATCCGACATGCTGGTTGTACCCAAGTTGTACAACAATTGACATAGATGGTATCAAATCAGGTGGGCTATGAACAGAACTTGGGTAGAGAGAATATGGAAGATATTTGTCCAAAACGATCATGCAATTGGGCAGCACAACCACAGGTGAAGATATGTGCTTGAGCTTCTGCAGCCTCGAAAACAAGACGTCTGAATTGAGTTTGGCAAGCCATGTTCTTCCTGGAGGGCTGGGAAAGTTTTGAAGGCCGTAGCTGTAATCATGTTACAGAGTCTTATCAACTTTGCAGCAACCCAGATTTGAAAGGAAGATGGGAAGGTAAAATGATGGATTTGTGAGGTATGGTAAGAGGGTTGGGGATGTGGTGAAAGGAGACCAAATGGAGATTTAAGTTTGTCCCAGAGCACGAGGGAATGTCTCAAAAATGGATTGGAAATATGCTGCTGGTCAACACAATGCAACCACAACAGGTTCGCAACCGAACGTGGGTCACACTCAACCGCCTCAATATGTACCCAGAGAGGGGTTTTGTGTATTGAATGGTATTTTGTAAGTTGGGCTATTTCAGCAGTTTTTTGCAACGGTAAGGAGACCTGACACTGGCAGCACTTTGAAAAGCAGCCTGGATAAAAATACAAAGATCTGAACAGTGCAATTGACAGCACATATCTCATCTTGTTTTCTGAATGAAGCTTCACATGAATCTTACTGTTTAAACAATTTACAAGTGTGAAAGAGGTCCAAGTCTTTTTCTTTCTCTGATTAGGATGGCCAAACCTAGAACACCCTTTTTTTTATCTTTCTGCTATGCCAGTGTACAACTTAGCATTATATTTGTATTGTTCATTTTTTTTTGGTATGCACATACCCTATAAACATTTAGAATGAAACTGACTTTCTGATATTGGGAGATGCCACTCTGACAAATGAACACTTAAACCCGTATTCTTTTATAAATATGTTTTTATTTAAAAAGCCATTTAAATTAATGATGTTTTGCATTGGGCATTGAACCATCCATAGTGTAGGTATGAAGAGGCTTGTAATATGCCAAATGAACCCCCTCACACACCCAACTGCTGCTCATTGAACTGTACAGGCAGCAGTGCAAGTAGACCATTGAAGTTCTTCATGGTCTGACTAACTAGTGCTGCCTCCTAGCAACCTACGGATGTTGAGCTTGAAATCCTCTGCATCCAACAATAACTTTGAAGTTATTGCAGGGACGGAGCAGCCATTGGGACCAGTGTCTCCAAGTGCCACAGGAGGGAGTGCTGTATTGTTCAGGATGGCACCCTCTCCCATGGTAGGGACAGAGGTGCTGGTCCTAACAGCTCCTCTGTTCCTACAGTAATTCAGGACGGAACTATTGCTGGCTGCAGAAGATTTTGAAAAGCTTCTTCTAAATATGGTTGTGGACTTCATAGTTTAAACAGAAAGGAACCGTGGCTGGTTGGTAGGTTTAGCACATCATGCTGCTATTATACCTACAGTGATTACTATATTTGCTACAAGCTCATTGTAAAATACTCTGATATTTCCTATACTGTATGCTTATATATATATATGTACGTAGTATATAATGTTAAAAAACATAAAGGTTGAATTTGATGGATGAGTGTTTTTAAATAAAATTTTCTTTTTAACATACTTGAGAAATGTAATATATAATTTTTTTTCTATTTTGTCAGGCAACAACAACAGTCTACGTGACAATCTTGGATGAAAATGACAATGCTCCCATGTTTGACAGTCCACAATATGAAGTCAGGTTGGATGAGGGTCCTCTGACACTGAACTCTGTTATTATCACAACTACAGCTGTGGATCTTGATGAAGGACTTAATGGAACAGTGGTCTATAACATAATAAATGGCAACCTCCAGAACACATTTACGATCAACAGTGGCACGGTATGGATAAGATGAGACTTGCTCAATGCGCACTGTATTTCTTTGACAAGTCCAGAATAATCTGCAAGTGTAGTTTCTTGATGTTTATGATGGAATTGGGGTCGGTTTATTTTTATTTTAAAGGTTTTTTGGGGAGGTTTAAGTACAGGACTAAGATGTGACAATATCTAGGCAAAAATGAATATCACAATGATATTAAATTGGAACTACACTGCATCTGAGCACTACAAAACAAAAACGCTATTTAATTAATTTGTTATTTTCAAAACAAACTCCCCCATCAATCCATGCCTCCATGCTTTATTTTGCTGGGAAATCACTTATGAAACACCCCTAGAATTGCTGGCTGTGACCATCTTGAGTAAGAGCAGAGGATTCATGTAGCATTGACTTCCTGGAATCCACCTGCCCTTAGCTCAGGCATACAGGCAGAGGGGGGGTCAGGGGCATCCCTAGGCAGGTGCGGGGGGTGCGCGCCGCACCGGGTGACACCTATCGCATGGGGTGACACCGGACCCGCTCCACGAAAAGGTAAGTTTTAAAGCAAGCCAACGATCCCCGCAAGATGGATCAGATCTGTGGATTGGGAAGCATAATCGATTGGACTCTGATCCATTATGCTCAATCCGCAGATCTGATCCATCTTGCGGGGATCGTTGGCTTGCTTTAAAAACGTACCTTTTTGTGGAGAGATCAGTTAACCCTTTATAGGATGCAAGCCGTCGATACACACAGGATGGATTGGATCTGCGGGTTGGGGAAGATAATGGATCGGACTCCGATCCATTATGCTCAATCCGCAGATCCGATCCATCCTGTGGGGATTGTTGGGGGTGTCACCAAGTGTTATCGCACCTGGTGACACCAACCCTAGGGACGCCCCTGGGGGGGGGGTGCTTAGCTGAGAAAAACCCTCCTCTTGATTGAGAGAGTGAAGTGTGAAGTTCCACTTTAAGTATTGGAAAGTATCTTTTCTCAAGGAAAAGTTAATAAACCAGTTGAATATATAATGGTATGGGCTGATAATGGTCCATTGATGTAAACAGTTTAGACCAATTGTGATGAGTGAGGGGTGTAGTATGTGGAAAAGGAGCTATTTTTGAGGTATACTAACCCCTTGTTTTTTAGATGAAGCTCTGTGGAATTCTACCATATAACATTCATAAACAACATTCTTGAAATGTGTCAAATTTTGTATATTAGCGAGCCAAATAAGACATGCATGACATTTTTTGTGGTTTTACTCGTGAGCTGTTTCCTGAGCTTGTTTCCTTTGCCACTACAAAGATACATACTTTTTATTGTTATATTAAATCAGGCTAATAAGTTCTTTACATAAACAATGCATTAGCAGCCTTTAGGGTAATGCCAGTTGGGCAAATCTCTCTTGGCAGGTTTGCTAAAGTGGCTGTCTGTCCCTTATCATTATCCCACTGTAGCCAGTTGCAGCAAGATGACGGTCTATCGCTGGCACAAAAGTTACCAAATCTCAGTCCCTACCAATGGGAGTGACATCTTACTGCCTTAGCTACAGAAGGAGAGACTCCATGGGAACAGAGACACTAGTGCAGGGGTGGGCAACTTTCTTGATATGGGGGGCCTCAAGTGTGGCAGCAACATCACCAAAGGGCCAGACATAAAATTCAGTGAATATTTAGTGTCAGAAACAGCAGACACACAACAGAATATAGTCAAAGACTATGGGCATAATACAAAACATGGTAAGAGACTGTGGACTTGATACAAGAGGTGGTCAGAGACTAAAAATCTGACACAAGAAATGGTTGGAGATTGCAAACATTATACAGGAGATGGACAGGGACTGCGGACATGATACAAGAGATGATCAGCTGCAATTCTAAACAGAGGTACCCACACAGAAGAAAAATATATTTGAAATATATTTTAAAAAATATTCTTCTCAAATATATTGACAAATATTTGAAATGCTACAATTTAGGCCATATTCAATATATTTCAATAAATATATATGTATATATATATATATATATATATATATATTGCACGTTGAAATGCGTTTTTATTACAAAATATATGAAAAATATTTTTAAAAATACATTTCAAATATAAAAAAAATCTGAAGAATATATTTTTAATAAAATATATTTTTTAAAATACATTTTTTTAAATATATTCTTCAGAAGTCATTTTAACATATATTTTTACATATATTTGTAAATTTATTTCAAAAATGTAGATTAGTATTTTTAAAGACATACAGTATATTTGAAATGTATTATTAAAAATATTTTTCATATATTTTGTTATAAAAGCACATTTCAACATGCAGTATATATACAGTGTATATATATATATATATATATATATATGTATGTATATCTATAGAATACTGGCAAAATTGTAGCATTTCAAATATATGTCAATATATTTAGGAAGAATATTTTTAAAATATATTTCAAGTATATTTTTCTATTTTTCTTCCATATGGGTAGGGTACTACAACCTGATCACATATATTAGGCTTAAAGCATATGATCTCACCGTGCCTGACCAGCAGTCTTCATCTGCTTGCATATAGGTGTCCAAATCAAAAGAGCAGTCTTTGACCATCTCCTGTATAATGTCTGCAGTCTCTGATCATCTCTTGTATCATGTCAGTCTTTTGACCATCTCCTGTATAATGTCTGCAGTCTCTGATCATCTCTCTATTGAAAAGAGCGTTGGCAACATGTAAATGTAGAAAAATCTTCTTTATTGCATAAAGTACAAATGTTCCATGGCACAGTTAGCGCTAATGTGTTTCAGTCCAAAAAACAGACCTTATTCATAGCTTTGTTAGTGTTAACTGTGCCATGGAACATTTTTACTCCTTTATGCAATAAAGAAGATTTTTCTACATTTACATGTTGCCAACGCTCTTTTGAATAAGAGATGATCAGAGACTGCAGACCTTATACAGGAGATGGTCAAAGACTGCGGACATGATACAAGAGATGATCAGAGACTGAAGACATTATACAACAGATGGCCAGAAACTGAATACATTATACAGGAGATGGTCAAAGACTGCAGACATGATACAAGAGATGGTCAGAGACTGAAGACATTATACAGGAGATGGTCAAAGACTGCGGATATGATTCAAGAGATGATCAGAGACTGAAGACATTATACAGGAGATGGTCAAAGACTGCGGATATGATTCAAGAGATGATCAGAGACTGCAGACATTACACAGGAGATGATCAAAGACTGCGGACATGATACAAGAGATGGTCAGAGACTGCAGACATTATACAGGAGATGGTCAAAGACTGCAGACATGATACAGGAGATGGTGAGAGACTGCAGACATTATACAGGAGACGGTCAAAGACTGCGGACATGATACAAGAGATGGTCAGAGTTTGCAGACATTATACAGGAGATGGTCAAAGACTGCATACATGATACAAGAGATGGTCAGAGAATGCAGACATTATACAGGAGACGGTCAAAGACTGCGGACATGATACAAGAGATGGTCAGAGACTGCAGACATTATACAGGAGATGGTCAAAGACTGCAGACATGATACAAGAGATAGTCAGAGATTGCGGACATTATTAAGAGATAGTCAGAGACTGTGGACATGATACAAGAGATGATCAGAGACTGTGGACATGATACACAAGAGATGATCAGAGACTGTGGACATGATACAAGAGATGGTCAGAGACTGTGGACATGATACAAGAAATGGTCAGAGACTGTGGACATGATACAAGAAATGGTCAGAGACTGTGGAAATTATACAGGAGATGGTCAGAGACTGTGAACATGCTATAGGAGTTGTTGGAGACTGGCGACATGCTTCAGAAGACAGCCATAGACTGGAGACATATTACATGAGACTGCTAAAAATCACTGCTATAACAGGACAATAGGGAAACACAAATTAGTGTCTGTAGGGGGCCCAAGGGCAGCACAACAAATGCCTAAGAGCCGCAGTTTGGGCACCAGGGCACTAGTGAGTTATAATAGATACGTTGTCCTGCACTGTACACTGGGGAATGTCACTGGTCTGTCTAATGCTGGCAGAAAGAGGCAGTGCTTGGGAGCTGACAGGTAGTCCCTTTAGCAGCATGTTTGTTGAATGGAAAAGTGTAAAACATTTCTTGGAAGATAGTTCAGTTTAACATTTATGATCATATGCACCAAGTATAAGTACCAAGTACAATGAAATGCTTGCTTGTGTGCATTCTCACAGTTTACCTAAAAGTAGACAAAGCAAAAAAAATCAAAACAAATGGTACTGAAGAGAAGCACAGTTCTATGGTGGCAAGTTTATTTGTGGTGATATTTATAGCACTTTATTTGCATCCCTACCTCTTGATGTAACCTCAGCCTGCAGCATTAGGCACCTGCCTCTTAAAGTGGTTCTAAAGTCAAAATGTTGTATTACCTTAATGCATTTTTCTGAATTAGGGTAAAAAACTGATTAGCAACACTAAGCAATATATGAAGTTCTCTCACCTGCTGTCTCTGATTTGCATTATTCTTCCTCTCACATAACTAGTGGGTCTGTCACACCTAACTGGCCCATAGCCTTAAACCCCTTAGGGCAATCCGATCATCTCCACCTGTCAAGTTTTCAGGCAGACCTGATCAGATGGTCCATATATCCTAATGGACCTGCGGGTGTAAACGGTGTTGTGACTACCTCCAATCCGGTCCACCAAAAAAATAAACGGGAAGGGGATGCATCCCCTTCCATCTAGGTGGATGGGATCGGAGGGCAGTCGGGTGTAAACAGATAGCTGTCCTGTTTACACCCAGCCGCCCATAGAGCAGAGCGGGCAGTGTTCATGTCTGCTCTGCATAAACTGAGTGGACACAGACCTGTCACCCTCCTGCTCTGCTCTGATCATCAAGGGATCAACGGACAAATGACCTGCTGAGCTGAGCAAGACTCCGCACTATGTGGAAAAGGCCGAACTCACTATGGCCATTATACCTTGAAACTCAAAGTTCCAAAA